GTGGATGATAGGGGTGGTCACAAGGGTCACCAGAAAAATTAAATAAAAATTCCCCTCTACCCAGAGGGGATGTTTGAGGGCAATTTTGTAACCGATGACCTGCAGATATTGCTATATTTAAAAAAAAGCTATTATGTTATCGTCAATAACCCTTTATCAATATGAAATAAAAAAAAAACAACACAATTAACAAAGATTTTAAAGAAAATTAAAATTGCCCCAGAAGGTGTAAAATTTTTAAGTTTTTAAAAAATGCCGTTTATTTTTTTTAATACCCAGAGCAGACTTTTTATTTTATTTTTCTAGTGACCCTTGTGACGACCCCTATCATCCCCCTTCCTATGTACGTAACCTTTTGGGACACCCTATATATTTGTGAGATGCACAAATATTTAGTTAATGTTATCAAATATTTCGTAGATTTTTAATAAAATGTTCATGAATTATATTATCATTTGTGTTTTCAGTTCCAATAAAAAATACATCAAACTTTTATAGAAATGTCGAAATATTATTTTTTCAGTAAAAAATACGTTTTATTTTGAAAATAATTAAGGTATGTATCTTTTTAATTTGACTTTTTTTTAATTACAGTAAGGTTATCTAAAAAAGAAAGTCGTGTTAGTTACACTATTTATAACTCAAGAACGGCTTTACCGATATGACTGAAAATTGTTGAGGAGGTAGCTTAGAGCCAGGAGACGGATATAGGATACTATTATTCATTTTTTTCGAATTTATGCCTTGAAGAGCTGCTTTTAACTTATCTATATAATAAGTTTTTTTATATATCCACGGGTAGACGCGGGCGACAGTTAGTTTTAAATAAAATTTCTCTGACTACATAATACCGATTTATTCATATTTAAATAAAATAAATTAACAATAATATTTAATAAAACACTTCATCCCCTAATCCGTAGGTATCTCAATACCGTATTTATAATAAATGCTTCGCCAGAAATACGCCCGCTCCGGTGTAAGTTCGGAGACGTACTGAGGTTCTAAGTCAATAGCCAAGTGGTGGGGGTAAGGTACCCACTCGCCGTTGTTTGTCTCTGGAGTGGGTGTTCTGAAAAAAAAACAATTAGCTGCCAGGTATACTCAAAAAAAATCGTACCTCTTTGGAACGAATATAAAAAGCAGTTAAACGTGAGTGAGTGAGCCGGATGCCCATCGACATGCGCATTTGCATATGCGTTGCCTATATTTAATCGACGCAGTAGATTCACGTAAAGAGAATATTTTCCCTTCCCATGCATTCCCTCATCCGGAAAATGCACTTCCACTTCTCATCCTTTCCTTATATGAGAATGGGATGGAAAAATAAACTGAAATTAGGCCTCCGGGACGAATATTCATCAGATTGTAGTTAGAATTGCTTCCACTTGACGCCTGTCTTCTGTGTGGTCATGGTATTGCACCCGGCGAGGCCAATTCCTGTGAAGATATTAAAGCGGGCTCTAACATTTTTAAGATAAGTAAAGTAACTTACCCAAATTTAGCAAAATTAGTCCACATCATTGTCATAAATGTGATCATTCTGGCATCCTCTTCATCCATAGGTAATGGCAATCGTTCTAATTCAAAAATATAAAACAAATCATCTCTATTTGCTGTCGCTTCTAAGCTACTATTTGTTAGAATTCTTCCTAAATTTCTGTTGCCCAAATAATTAAAGATATATGTGTAAACTGGCAACCCAGTACTATTAGTATATAAGTTAGTAAAAAGTGACATTGGTCCGACATAAGAGAAATCAGTATTCAAATTAATAATGCCACCAAGAACTGCTTCATCAGTCGTGGTGTTGACAAAATAAGTCTCTTTTAATATATCACGAAGTTCAGAACTGTCTTCTTTAGGTACTTTCAGACTTCTTTGATCTAACGCTGAATAATCTTCGTTCTTTATTCTATCCATTTGACTGCTAATCGTGTTATAATCCAATGTGCTTGTTAACCCTTCAACTGTATTTAAACCTATTATCATTGGAACTGGGTTTATAATACCAGAAATAAGGATATTAAATGGATAATCATGTAAGAATGGCTCTTCATCATCAAATACCTCTTCTAATGTTGGTAAGAAGACTGATTGAGGGTTCATCTGTTTCCCAATAGACTCTTCAACTCTAGAAACTTCTGCTTCTGAATACAATTCATATAAATCATAAGGGTCTTTTGTGTTAACTCCTAAAGTCTTCGCGATTTTTATCGCGGTATTCAAAGGGTTAACATCAAATGATTGTGGTGCAAACGGTGTACCACTTTCTGATATAACACGATGGAAAAGACCTTTAGTTGATTCAGACATTGTCAAATAAATAGCTGCCAAACCACCACTGCCTTCACCAAAAACTGTAACATTATTTGGATCACCAAAGAAATTGGATATGTTATCTTTGATCCATCTTAAAGCTGCTCTGATATCCTTCAATCCAGCATTCCCTGGTGCTTCCTTGATACCCAGATTAAGGAAGCCATAAATATTTAATCTATAATTCACAGTAACAACCACAACGCCATGACTGATTAGATATTGTGGGCCGTAGAACATAGAAGACCCTGAACCAACACCGAATCCTCCACCGTGGAGGAACACCATAACAGGAAGGCTAGTATTTTGTAATTGTGATGGTAAATATATGTTTAATACTAAGCAGTCTTCGTTATCACTTGGTGATGCTAATGGGTCTGGTGCAGGAAATTGTGGACAAAGTACTTCTCTATTATCAGCTTTGTATACTCCTGAGAAGGTTGGAGGGTCTTCAGGAGCCTGGAATGAAGGGTTACTTGAATAAAAGATCAAACAAAATCATACCTAAGTCCAGACCGACTGAACAGATTTGAATGTCGAACAGTGATATATTAAAGTTTGAAATAACGCACACTACACAACTCCTCGCCATCTTTTTCTTAGGAAATTATACCAAGGTAAAAAGGATTAGAGTTGGCACAAATGATAAGACGAAATGTATAAATTCAAATTAACGGTTGTCTCCATGGTCGAGGTATTGAACTGGTCGAGACAGTTAATCTTTCTTCTTACTAGTATTATAAATGCGAATATTTAGATGGATGGATGTTTGTTTGAAGATTTCTCCAGAATGGTTGAACGGATCTCGATGAAATTTGGAATACATATAGAACATAGTCTGATAGACAACATAGGCTACAAATTATGTTCTTTTTTTTATTGCGCGTGGGAGGAATCGCGGGCGACAGCTAGTTTATCATAAACAACTTACCCTAAATTTAACAGGAACTGCATATCTGATACCAAGGAATTCGTAAAACAATCCATTGCTTGATAAGCTTCCTTCCACAGTCCCTTGCTTCGTTTCCACTTGAAGAGTATCTTCTGTGGAAACCAGAGACAATATCGCAAAAATAACACAATATCTTAGTGTTACCATCCCTTTGGTTATTTTTACACTGCGATTAATATCGCGTAATTATCATTTATATACTTAAAAAATCTGGCAATACTTTATTTTAAAAGATAATTTAAATTTCTAATCATAATTGTTACGTATAAATCTAGATAAATATTGATAGAGTTATTTCAAATATCGAAATGGCGGCAATAATTGTGAAATTTTTAATCATTTTTTGTCATATCGTGATTATGTCCGATTGTGTTTTGTGTACAAATTATATTATGTGTCAATTCCAACTGACAAAAGTTGTGTTATCGATGTCAAAAAAAATAATAACAATTTTCAAACAAAATCCGTTTCCTTACCCATAAAATGTAGGTAGCATTTATCTATAAATGGATAGAAGTTAGCTTGGAAGTGACTGCTTTTACAACGTTACGATTTAAACGCGCCTGTTGATGTTAAGTGACAGTAAATTCTATATAAATTATTAGTGCGAATTCACACCACCGCTAAAAACCGCAACCATCAGCGCCAAAATGGCGAAAATCAAATACGCACAAATAACTACGTCGTATCGCCAGCCCATTTATAGAGGTCAGTGGTAGGTATGTTTGAAAACCATAACCGCCAGATTTAAAAAAAACAATGCCAAATCTACCGTCGTTTCATTATTAGCTACAATTGTGTTGTGAAGAGGCGCTTTGGAATTGGAAACTGGGAAATTTAGGACGAAAGTGGTAAGTTATGTTCTTTATAATTTACTAGCAGTTGCCCGCGATTCCATCCGCGCGGAATCAAAGAAAATCTTAATAGTTCTATATGTATGCCAAATTTCATAGAAATCTGTTCAGCCGTTCTGGTGATACCTTCCAACAAATATCCATCCATCTAAACATTCGCATTTATAATATTAGTATGATAAATAAAATGTACAAAAGAAATCTTTTAATTTTGTACACAACTTGTTTGTGAAAGTTCAAAGTGATATGTCATAATTACGCAATAATTTCTTTATCTTTTATTGTTTTATCATGATACGTGTTTAAGTTACAATTTACCATCTTATTTTTATTGCAAAATGTACGTGACCTTACAGCAATATAACTTTTATCAGATTTCATTTTGTAAATATGTTATGAGCTGTTGTTCTAGGTTTGTATATTTCTGTTTCATTAACTTATCAAGGATTAAAAAAACATACGTCAACAAGGTTTCGGTAAGAAATAAATAACGCAAATATGATTTTTTTATTTTGTATTATTGACTCGTATTTATTTAAATCCCCGCTAAAGTAATTTTTATTGAATTCAATGATTCAGTTAAAAATATTGAGGAAAAATGTTACCAAAGTAATGTGAATAATGGTTGTTCATTAAAAAAGTGTATAGAACATGAACGTCGTCAATACATTGTCGTTTCTATTTTTACATGTTTTTTGTTTTTAATATTAAAAAAAAGTATAATAATGTTGTTGGTATTTAACCTATAAATTAAAAATTTTAACTTTTAATTAAACAATCGAAAATTGTATGCTTAATATTTCAAGCGTTGTAACTGGTCGTAACCGTAACGGTACAAAGAAAAGTTAAAAAGTTTGACATTTCATTCTCAAACACAAGCATTTTTGACGTTTGTCAAATTTCTCGATTTATCGAGTTGTTTTAAATCAATAATATTGTTTATTTACACATTTTTCTTGCTAAAATATGACAATAATTATCATAACAATATACTATTTATGATATAAAACCAATATTTATCGAGTGAAACTCAGACAACGTACATAGACTCCCTGTGCTTACGTGTAATTTCAAATAGAAAAACTACAGCATAGTTATGAATAAAAAGCCAAAAAGTGGTCCAAGGATTCGTATAACAAGACAAGCTTTTCGTAAAAAGGAGGAAGGCACTGAAGTTAAAGACGAGAGTAACTTTATTTACACGTGTCAATATTGTCGTGTTAAATTCACACAAAACAGTCATTTCTTCCGTCACATGACATCAAATCATCAAGCCCAACAGAAAGAAGCTACTTACGAGTGTAATGAGTGTCAAATTATCTTCACAAAGAAGAATATGTTAGATTTACACTACAGGAAGCGTCATCAAATAAAAAGTAAATCGAAATGTGAATCTTGTGCTATAACATTCAAATCTCGTTATTGTTTACGTCGTCATATGAAATTGAAGCAAATTATGAATGAAAATTCATGTGTTAAGTGTCAGAAGAAGTTTACGAATAAAGATTTACTTTTAAAACATGTTAAAAATAAGCATACGTTTAAAAATGCGACATATGAATGTGAACATTGTACATTAAAGTTTAAAGCTAAGAAATCTTTACAAACTCACTTAAGTAGGATACATAAGAGATTATGATTAATGTAATTTTATGTTATTGAGTTTTCATTGCTAAAACACTAACAAAAACATTCTCATCAACCTTTTTTTATATCCTAAGGTGACAAACAAGCAACCACCTGAAATTGCTGAAATAGCAAAACAACCGCCCAAGACTAACACAGACTGAGGAGGGGATGCACAGAAAGATAATATTTTCCCTTTCCATGCATCCTGTCATCTGGAAAACCCTACTCTATGAAATTGTTACTGTATATACTCTTCCATACTTATTTGAATTTTAGCATTTCTTTTTTCAAACTCTAAAAAAGCAGATATGTTTTGAAACATGTGTTTTTGCAATGAAAACTCATTTGTTACCATACATTTCAGTTAACTATTTCTATTTTGTATTAAACTAAATAATACTCCTTAAAATATAAATAATTAGGTACAGTCAGCTGCATAAATAAAATGTTTTTAGAAATTTGTATTTGATATCTGTTTATAAAATGTTTATACAAATTTTGTCCATATGCTTCTAACTATTTATATGTGCATACATCATCAGCTATAAGTCCCCACTGAGAGTCTCGGAGCCTAACACAAGTCAGTGACTAGGTGATAGTGAATGCTGGTTGAGTGCGGGTTGACTTCACATATCTTTGACTTTCTCAGATATGTGCAGCATCACGATGTTTTTCTTCATCGTAACAACATATGATAAATGTACATATGTAAATGTAAAACACATTACATGGCGGGATTTGAACCTAGGATCTGTAGATTACAATTCAAGTGCTTAACGCCAGAGCCAGAACACTCTCTAATATGTGCATTCATATCTGTGAGACTAAAGTCATTAGACATTTGAATCTGTAAGTGAGAGTTGTTCAAGATGGATGATCCATAAGCAAGAAACTCAGGTCAGATAGCTCTCTAAGAGAGAAAATCACAGACTCTGAGACTTGTAAGCTCCATGGTTGACTATAATTTTTTTAAATGTTCAAATATTTATGCAGCTGACTGTATGTAGTCGAAATTAAAGATTGTTACAACTTAATTACTAATTTGTTAGCTGTATATTTACACATTGGTCACCTAAACTGTTTAGTAAAGATTTATACTAAATCTAAACTTAGGACACTCACAGAGACCTAACTCTGAGTACAGCAGTTAACTTTGTAATTGTTAATACATTAGTTTTTGCTCAATTTTTTAATTGTAGATATATGAAAACACCCGGAGCACAGAAGTTAGATGGAAAAATGCCTCCGAAGGTCTTTTATTAGGGTAATTTTCAGTGTGTTCATTTAAAATATATAATTCCCTCCAAAATCAATTAGATAATCTTATTGACATCCATGGTTTCAACAATATCATAGAAAATAAAATTTTCATTGTTTTTTTTCAGTATAAAAAATGTTTAGACATTTATCTGCATTATACTATTTTTATTAATAATATTTTAATTACTCTTCCTTTATCTACCTCTCATATAATTTTAAGACTTTAAATATGGTTGGAAAAGTTGAATCTTACTAATATAAATGCGAATGTTTAGATGTATGTTAGAAGGTATCAACAGAACGGCTGCATGGATCTTGATGTAATGCCAATACCAATGACCTTTTAGTTTTCACATATTTACAGACAGAACTAACCCAGGGCTAGTTTTACTAATATAAATGCGAATGTTTAGATGCATGGATGTTTGTTTGAAGGTATCTCCGGAAGTCAATGGATTTTGATGGAATTTGACATAGATGTAGAACATAGTCTGGAAGAACACAATTTTTTTTTTAATTCCGTGCGGACGGAGTCGCGGGCGACAGCTAGCATATAGATTTGTAAAAATTTGTATTTTTTGTCACTTAAAATGGTTTGGTTGTAGTATATTTAATTGTAAATATATAGTTTTTATTTAGAGTAAGAAAACGACCTCGGACAATAAAATAGAAGAATGAACATATTGTATTATTAACCTTGAATTTTCTCAGATAAAAAAAATTACATGATTTTCTCTAGTTGAGATTTCTTTTTAATTGGACCAATCGGCTTACTAATGCATAGACTTAATTGGACCAATAAGATTTTGTTCTTATAGACTCAAGGTCCAATTGGAAATTATATGACAGATGGACAACAAAGTGATTCTATAAGGATTCCAGTTTTTAGTTTTGAGGTATGGAACCCTTAAAAACCTCTTATAGTTGATAAAAATCTATAATGGATGGACATGAAGGTCTTGAACTGTTTGAAATGTTTTAGACTCATTGGTGTAATAAAAAACAATATATTTTTCTAAAACTGATTATATTTTAACTTTTACAATTAATATTAAATATAAAAAATCTTTACAAATATAACTATAAACAATTTACACTTAAAACTGGATAAGTAAGAATCCCAAGAACTTCTATAGGAGAAACTTCTATAGGTTTCTCAAATACAAGTATCTTACTTTTGGAGATCATTCATGGAGTTTGGACCATGTTTTTCGTTTACAGAGGTTTGTCAATTATCCGGATTGAACTATATTATAAAACTTAGGTTATTACATCAGCTGATTTCACTAACTTTCCATTTAAATAGCCCATTTTGTGTTTCTCTCTTACATGTCTTACAACATGATCTCTCCGTTTATAAACTTGTGGACAGATAGGACAGACAATTGATTGGTTTAAATGTTGTGATTTAACATGCCTTACCATATGATCTCTCCTTTTAAATGTTGCGTTACAATGTGGACATATATGTCTTTCTGTCGATGCATGCGTTGATTCGTGTTTCTCTAAATCGGCCAATGTATTACAACGGAATTCACAATTTCTACACCTAAATACATCTGTATTGGATGTGTGATACATTTTTATATGTTCTAACATAAGATCTTGTCGTTTACAATCTTTATCACATACGGGACAGCTCGAATATTTCCTGTTTAAATGCAAAGTTTGTACGTGCCTTTTCAAATGGTCTTGGCGACGAAACACAGAATGGCAGTAAGTACACATTAATTTCTTCTTATACGCGTGCATTTCAATGTTATGGTGATCATATTCGATTTGATTGTCGAAGTTTAAGTTGCAATGAGGACAGTAGCGATTAAAAGTTAGGGCATTTTGTGTTCTAGGCGCGGGTGATTGTTTATCAACCCCTGGGGTATGTACTAGATGATTTAAAACATACGATGTACTCCTGTTGTAGTTCTCCGGTTGATAATTTACGTTAACGTTATCCATTATTGTATACTTTGTTATTTTTATCGTCAGAGATTTGTTTATATCATTGTTTTGTTATTGTACAAGTAAAGTTCGACAGTTCTTTAAATATGTCACTCATGTTCGTCCAAAATGACATTACCAAAGAGTATAAAAGTTTTACAGTAAACACAGATTAAGCAAAGTGAAAGTTTCCGTTTCTTAAATAGATTAAATAAATGCCAAGGGTGGGCATTGTGACCAAAGAGTACATAAAATAAGAGACGGGACTCTTGACTAATTAGATACACAAACGGAGAATAAAAATTATGAACAAGTCTACGTTGCTACCAACCTAAAAAAATCAATCTGTCAATTTCCCTTTTGACGTTTGAAAGTATTAGTCGAGGGAAAACAATTTAGGAAAAATAAAACCATTTCGTTAATTGTCATATATATTTCTATAAATTGTCATATAATTAACATCAAACTAATATAAAACACTAAATCTATAGGTTACACATCTATCTATATATCAATATTGACATTAATATAATTACTAGCATTTCCTGCAACATGGTGACTCTTTTTTAGATTTGCGGTTTAACTACTTCATATAAAAAGTTATTTTTCAAAATTTAGTTTAGAATTACATTATTTCAAACAATCAAAAATTTGTAGCACAGATGTTGCAGCGACATGCAGTCAGTAATTCTGAAGCAGATTCCTTCATTTAATAATTCTGTAGACCTTGAAGAGGTGCATTTATTCATCTGCAACAGAATGAAATTGTAATTAATTGATTGAAGTGTACAACATAATCAATTTAATTATTGCTTTTCACCTAATTACATACCTTATTTAAAAAAAAACTGGTTTTCTTTGAGTATGTGGATCTTCTTCTTCTTCTTCTTCTTCTTCTTCTTCTTCTTCTTCTTCTTCTTCTTCTTCTTCTTCTTCTTCTTCTTCTTCTTCTTCTTCTTCTTCTTCTTCTTCTTCTTCTTCTTCTTCTTCTTCTTC